TGGATTTCCGATTATTTCAAAGATTACAAAAAAGATATTTACTGATGGAATGAATGTCAGCTGTGAGAGGGAAAAAAGGAATCATGGATGGCTCCATTGATTTTTAATTTAAAAACAAATACTCTCTAAAACCAAAATACTATGAATATATTTAAAATTCACATTAAGGACAGATACAGAGAAAAGACTTGATGAAGATAAAGGGAGGAAAGAGAGAACCTACAGGAGACTCTGAGACAAGCACAGAGGCCAGCACTGGAACAGGTGAGTTCTGAACCAGTTAACAATTGTGTTGTCTTCTGGTCAGTAAGCCAAGTTCTGAGGCCACCAGACCTAGAGCTGGAGCACAGGAGTGGGAAAGTCACCCCTCAGAGATCAGCACGTGATTCCTTGTGAGACCACACACTTACACACTAAATTGGGCAATTTGTGTGAAGACACTGTTAACTAGCAAAAAACTTCTCTAGTACAAAAAGTCCCTTCCATGAGAAGATAACTTCAGCATTTTCTGTGTCTCCATGGGTGGACCACAGAATCACGTTGTCAGTTGGGAGGTCTCTGGAGGAAACATGAGTTAAAAACTCCTTTCTAGGGAAAGATTGGCTCATGTGTTATGGCAATCATACCTGATTATTTCAGACTCATCAGCACTTTAAAAAAAAAAAATCACACCCTTCAACTTCACTTGCATAAACCAGAATTTACTTTACTGGAAACCCTTCAGAAATACATTTTGTAAATTAGGCACATAAGCTGAAAAGAAAAGGAAGCTTTTCAATTCTAAATTATCAGTTCAAATCCACCCTAGAGCTGGGCTAATATACTAATGGCATCGGTTCCCAAACTGCATACCCAGGCTTCTCAAAGTATCACAGCAAAGTCGGAGGCACCAAGAGATACGTTAAATGTGAGGGAAACAGCCATGCTTGAGCTGTATTGACCCCACATGAGGTCCTCAGTTTCAGCATCAGATCGAGCTACACTTCTGTCAATGACATCATTATCACTGAAAAATAGGGTGGTTGCCCCTATAAAAGGCAAATACCCCCCACACACATCAAAGAGGGCAGCAGTGATCCCCAATCTGATTCCCAAGTTAGAAAAGCCATGCTATATCCAACAGACACAGCCACCCCATTAGTACATACTGGGGTTATCTGAAAATGATATAAAAATAGTTTTTCTTCCAATTTATATATTTTTTCAAACAGCTGTTAGGACATAATACTTAATATTAATTATTAGGACCTAACTACTTAATAAATGGAATTATTAGGTGCTCCTTATAGCCTAGAGGTGCCACGAAAAAATTACTGAGACACTGAAGACACTGTGAACAGAGAAAGTTTTGGACACTCTGCTTAGTAGCTAACATTTTTTGGCACACTGACCATATTCCAGGAATTCTTCTGAGCACTTTACACATATTCATTCTATTGATCCTGCATCAACCCTATGAGGTCCAGAGACATTACGTAATGTCCAAGGTCACACATACAAGACATAACTGTTTTTAACCATGCTGAGGTAGAAATAACATATAAAATAAAGCAAGTTAAAAGCACATTCAGTGGTACCTTTAGTCCCTGCCCTCCAAATATACTCTACAGAACTACTGAGATTTCCTAAGGGGAAACATGTCTCCCATTTCCCAGTCATTGGTTCACTGTTGACTTAAGAATTCCATATGGAACAAAACCTGCAATTATGTTCACCAATTAAAAAAAAAAGACATTTATAGTTATTTTTCTGGTAATGAAACCAATAGTTGTTAAATCACAAGCACGATACTTTAAGGCTTGGTGGAAAATTGCAATGTGCAAATTTAAAAACTTCAGCCTACAGAGGAAAAACCAGATCTCCAACAAGGTACAAAGCATTACAGATCTGCTGTTTTTGTTGCCTTTTTTCCCCTTTCAGAGTTTACAACATCAAATCTAAAACCCCAAATACAGAAATTCGGAAAAATGAAACAGGCAACATAAGATGTGACCAGTGAAAACAGATCGTTTGGATATATGTTACTCTTCAGACACATACAACGCCCAGTTGACAGTACAGTAAGTGGTATTTTAGGTATGATGCTGAACAGTCAACAAAGACACAAATCAGTGGAGTTACATTAACGCTGTCCACTGAGTGAGAGAGCTGGAAAAAAAGCATGCCCTTCCTAATACACCTTTGAGTCAGACACCTAAGTCTTTATTCTAAGACAGAGAACTGACACTGTGGTTGGGGAAAATAAATCTAAGCTAAAGCTTAAATTTTAGATCAAATGGTTCTGCTGGATTTGTTTCAGTTTCATTGGGTATTTTTCACGATTAATAAATTATACTATAGATATTCAAACTGCTATGATTAAGTAATTCATCATCCAACTCCATCAAAGTAATAGTTTCAAACTGTTCATCCCTGCACATTTCAGATACATTCTTCAGTGTTTACAAGCTTTAACTAGTCTCAGTTTTAAGCAGATCCCCTACTGAGGTAGTCCCTCTTAACCAGAAGCCATTAGGTGGCAGTTTAAGAAACTTTAATTATGGACTAAAGTCTATTAAAACTTTTCAGTAGATTCAAAATATTATTAAAATAATTCAGCAAGGTGTTCAAGTAGCAATCTACTTTATTTACCACTAATCTCTGGCAACTACTCATTCTTGTCATACTCACATATAAACAGTTCCTAAATTTACTTGAACCAGTTATAGTCTATATACTTCTCAGAAAAGTCTACTCATAATTCATTTTCACTGAAGTAAAATGTTCTAAATTCTATGAAAAAAATTGATAACAAGCACAGACTTTGCTTTCATCTTAAAATGAACACAGATCTGAAGTAGTAACATTTGAAGTAATATGTAAATAGACTTTTGAAAACAAAAATGTTCCATACTAAGATAACTATGTACATAACATTTAAAAGTTCTGAAGAGTAAATTAGCCTCTGAGTGGATTTTTCTTCAAGTAACTTTCCTACTGCCTTTGGCTGCACTGTTTATACAGCTTCTCTCCTCCAAAGGCAGACAGCTGCGGAGGGGGGGGGGCGGGGCGGGGGGGGGCACTACAAAGAAGGTGCAAAGTGGAGCCAGGACAAGGGCTTCCTGAAGCTCTAGTCCCAGATATACTGAATGCAACTTCAAGAGTGAAATATTCAGTCAGCCTTTCTAACAGTTGAAAAAATCTTTACTTTTACAGTTATCTTTTTTATTTCTCAAGTTAACTTCCTCTGAAATTTTACTAAAGCCACTTTTCTTTTCTAAGACTCCAATGAGTGAAAGATTGTACCTTATAAGACTCTGACACCATCAGTAAGATAATACTTATTCCTTATGCTGCTTTAAACACAGGGCAAAACCTCCACCAATACACAATGTTCTAATAAATCTGTAGGAAAGGAAACTGCATCCTTTAGCCGTCTGTTATGTGCACATGCATGAAACTAAACACTAAACACATGTCACAAACACTGACTACCAAGATAATGAATGTTACTCCTTCAGTTATGGTTGACTCCAATACAGCCATAGGAACTTTCTCTTCAGAAATGTATTTACATAACATCTATAGAAACATATTGCTGTTGAAATGTAAGTAAGCTATGAGATAGGAGATATGATTCGGCATGTGGGTGCCTGTATAAGCAATAAATATTTATCCAGCACTCACATTGTACACAGCACTTCGGGAGAAAAATTTTCATGACTTGGAAGACACTGAAACCTAACATGAACTGAGCAGCATGGCTTCATCTTCCCCAAGGATCTGAAAGCCCCTGGGAGTTGCAGGGCCTCCAGACCAATTCTACCCACATCTGTCCTCCCAGACTGAAAGGTGCAGAGTGGGTAAGACTCCCAAACGGTTATTGCTGAACTATGCAAGTCTCCCAACTTTAAATGACACACGGCCCACTTCCCTAAGAAAGTCTATCATCTAAAGATGAAGTAACAAACAAATTTTAAATACAATTTCTCAGGGATCTGACAAGAGGGAACATACAAGAAGCATGCCCATTAATCAGGAAAGAGAGAGAGGAAAGGAGAAACAGGAGAGTGCTCCAAATCTACAGAGTAATCTACTCTAGCATAGATTTTTGGAATAGAAAGAGTGCTTCATTTCAAAGCACGGAAGACGATTTGAAAAAATTAACTGTACAAATTCATGAAATACAGAATACTGACAAAGGTCAAAAATCCAAATAGTTTGAAATACCTCTCAACAAGTCATGAAAATGCAGGCTAACATTTCAACACTTCCCATAAGCTTAGCTTTTTTAGAAGTATTAATTCTAAAGTCACACTTGTAAAAATGAAAGAAACTTTTACTGTAACAGAAAAAGAGCTCCTTTGTGTATGTATTCAATGTGGGGGTCGGGGGGTGGGGAAAGGGGAGAGGTTACCAACACCCAGAGAGTCAGCAGTCTAGCTCTCCATAGTGTGGAACGCGCCAGAGAGACGTGTTTATGGTGGAGCAGCTCACCAAACCTCCCAGAGTCTGCTTCCCCATCTATAAAATGGTTCGGCGCTCGCCTAGGGGCCGCGGGGAAGACTCGAGCAGACAGAGCGCGTGGAACTAGTCCCGGCGCGCAGTCCGAGCTCAGGGCCCGTGCAGCGCCGGCTCGCCAGGCCCGCCAGGCCCACCGCACCGCGCGGCCCACGGTTACCTGCAACTCTCACTGCTGACCCTCAGCGTTTGCGGCTCGGGGAGCCCCCAGGACCTTCCTACGGAACCGGGGGACAGAGCGCCCGCCAGGCGAGAACCGCCCGGTCCCGAGGAGAGCTGCCCGGCCAGGGCCGGACGGCGCAGCGGCCCCGCTCCTCGCCCCCGGCTCGGGTTCGACTGCGGCCGAAAGGGCGGAGGACTAGGTCGGAGGGCTCCCGGCCGAGAGGTCAGAGGCCCCGCCGCGGCCGCGGCCACACCTCCAGGAAGCGACAAGGCCCGAGCACGCAGGTAGGGGGCTAGGAGGCAACGGCCGCCGCCCCCTCCCCGCTCCCGGGACTCACAGGTGACGATGGGCTTGTTCTCCATGGTGTAGATCACCGGCGGCAGCGGCTCCTCAGGGGCGGCCATGGGCGATCGGAATCACCGGCTTGGTCCCCCGCGCCCCATGGGCAGCCCCGAGG